GGGTTTGGGGTAAAGAGTGTGTTTTCAGGCGCCATTTAGGGTAACCGGTGTTAATTGTAACCGTGTCCTACAAATGCCTTGGCAATTCTCACCAACTTGAAAACCAGTATGAGGACTGGTGCCGTTCCCTCCTGACTCTCTGCAGGTGGCTGTATGGGTGGAGGGAAGATGTTTGCCCCGAGAATATAAGAATACAAGCACATCGTAGCATCGTGGGTGTCACCGGGAGAGCAAAGACACAGAGGAACGAGGTCAGAGCAGCAGCTGCAGCTGTATTTTGACAGGGAGCGGAAGCAAAGGTCATTCTTTTTTGTGAATGATAAAAATTCAAGCAGCCCTTGTATAGAATCATAGAATGGTTTAGGTTGGAAGGGACCTTGAAGATCATCCAGTTCCACCCCCCCTGCTACAGACAAGGACACCTCCCACCAGCCCAGGTTGCCCAAGGCCACGTCCAGCCTGGCCTTGAACACCTCCAGGGATGGGGCAGCCACAGCTTCTCTGGGCAACCTGCGCCAGTGCCTTACAACCCTCAAAGTGAAAAAATTCTTCCTAATGTTTAAGCTAAAATAGTGATCTGATAGATGTGATCACAGGTGTCTGAACTACATTCCAAGAGCTTATTCATGGCCAACCTGTGAACAACTGTCTGGCATGCTGATGGCTTCTCCCCATGCTTTCTCACCGGGGACTTCTCCAGAGTGTGTGGAACCTGGTGGCAGTGACAACGTAGGTACCACATCTAGTGGAAAGATGTGGTCAGAGACAAGGGCCCCGGTAACATCTTTTGCAGCAGGAAAAGATTTCTGGTCCCTGCAGGATGGATGGCCATCGCGACCGCTAACGTGAATGGTAGCAGCAGGGAAACCTCCGATCTAACTCGTAGGTGTACAGACCCCTCTGTTTTCTATGCTGCAAACCATTTAAGGGATGAAGGACACTTTCAGACCCAGTAACGATGAGTAGCACCACTGAAAAACCTTTACCTCAGAGGTCAACGTGACATTGTGTTGTATGAAATGTTCGCATTTCATCACTGGTCTCTCCCTTCCCCTTGCAACCACCTCAATTAACTTTCAAGAATAGGGCAATTTTATCACTGCTGTATGTCTGAGAAAGTTTGGTGGTTTTTTTTTTTTTTTTTTTTTTTTCTCAATGAAAAACGAACATCTAAGAGTTGAATGATATTTTATTTAAGGATAAGTCTGAGGCAGAACCCTGTCCCTTTTTGACTACCTCTGATGAAATCTCTGCATAAACATGCAAGTGTAATTTTTGGTGAGGATAGAGGGGGAGTAGGAAAGAAGGCACAAGGGAAAAGACCTGAACTGGAATCCAAATTTGAAGCTGGATTTTATCCCTCTACAGCCATAAATCTAATTCTGAGTCTGAAACTTCCAAAATTTGGAGGTATTTGGAACTCACGCTCAGTCCCAGACTTTGCAGTATATGCCTAGGTATTATACATGGGAAGAAAATACTATTTTTTCTTTAATATAGTAGTGGATGCCCTAACGACTGATTGCATTTCTGCTGGCCTAGATACTGAACACACATATAAGGGAAAAACCTATTAATATTTGCAGGAAATTTAGCAAATGCTACAAATCCTTTTGCGACACCTCAGCAGTCAGAACCAGTCTATTTTACCCTTTCTCCTGTCGGCGGAGAAACTCCTTGCTAGAGCTCGCAGAACTTGGCAATTTATTTTTTTCAATGGAAACGTGCTCTGGCTCTGCTTCGTGATGCTCTGCAGAGAGTTTCCCTACCCGGCCCTTACCTTGAACTGAGAATCTCAAAGCAAAAACTCATTTGAAACAAATTTTCCCCTTGCCGTGGTACTACTCCCAAAGCAGCAAAACCTGCTGTTGTCACCTGTAGGTTACAGATCTTTTGAAAAATGTGGTTTAAACAACAAGAATCTCACTAAAACCAGCAAGTGTTGCATGGGTTAATATTTTGCTGTGAATCCGCTACATGATTTTGGCTTCAGAGGAAAAAGATCCCCCTCCAGCTTCCCTGGTTGGGGTTTCTACTGCTTAAGGCACCAACTAAGAGAAGACCGGGGATGCCCGGTGCTCTTTGGGGATCATAAAAAGCCTTGAAGAATATATCAAAAGTGATAAATAGAAACAAAACCAAACTGAAAATCAAAAGGATGACATCCAGGAAACTCTTGAAAGTCTTTTGGCCCTTTCTCAAATGGTCCGGTCTTGCCTACAAACTTGAGCACATCACACTTTAAATGCATTCACTTCCAGGAAAGGACCACACGGGACCTCTTCCAGAATTCAAATGTTAACGTATGAAGAGTGATCGTATGAAGAGCAATGTAGTGTTCCTTAATTGTGGCTGATTGCTTCTTGATCCCTGAGTGTCACACTCGCACGGATAAAGAAATATTGAAAGGGCAAGGGAGCAACACGGGCAGCGAACTGACTGTCCAGGGGAAGCACGAACGAGTTGGCTTCAGATGAGGCTTAGATCCAACCTGGAGGGCAAAGAGTTCCATAACAGCCTGAGGAAATCTATTATGTGTGAAAACAATTCTAAAAAACCTATTATGCCTTTCCCTGATCAAAGGAGCCCATGATTTCAAGTTCCTTAAAGAAATCAGAGTAAACATTGAGTTATTTCGCACAGAGCAAATGCCTACAAAGACCAGAGATGGGCAGTGAGTCCCACGCTGGGTTAGACCCACTTCAGAAATCTTCTCTCCCCTTCAGTAAGGATCACCCAGTTCCCTGGAGAAGCGAAGCAGGGCGGGAATTTACCCCAGTTACCAGGAGGTGCAGGGGGGAAGGCAGAGCAGGCGAGCGAGTAGTTCTCCATCCACTCCGCCACTGCTCCCGTACATGAAATAACCACTTCCTCTCCATCTCCGTTTCTCATCTTTAAAAAGGCAAAACTGATACTCAGCTACTGCGCAAAGCATTTACAGATTCCTGTATGAGCTATATCACAGAAGTACAAATCACTTTTATCCTACATTGATGTTATTTTATGCTTTCTGGGGATGAACTGTTATCTTTATTTTATAGTTTGAATAGACCTCGGTAACTGGAGTCCCTGGGGTAACATGAGAACTTGCTCGGGTAATTGTAAATTCAGGTGAGCAGGGCAGGGTTTGGATGCATGAGACGCCTTGTTTATGTAAAAGGAGAATCCGGATAATAAGAATTCAAGAGTCATCTGAAGAACAAAAGAATAAAACATACTCTCTAGATCACAGAAATCTGCCCCAAAAGAAAGAAGGAAGCGATGCGGTCATGAAAGCTAAAAAGAAATGTTGTTGAAGTTATATTATGGGAAGAAATCTGCAGCACAGGTACCACAAAGCAGCTGATGCTGCTGTGCAGAGAGCTCACGTGTCTCCTCCGAGGTCCACAGCTCTTGATGATGGTACCCAGCAACTCCACTGGTGCAGGAGAAGATCTTTTTGCCACCTAACTCATATATGAAGAGGGTCGGTATGTGTTTGATGTTGTGAAAACCACTGGTCTGGCACATCGCTCACCCAGTAAGATCGGGAGCGGGGAACACGTTACCTCCTCGCCCTTCCTTTCCAACTCCACGTCAAATTGTGCAGCACCATGAGTCACGAGCTGCGCGGCCATTCAACCCTCACCGCAAAGACCTCTCCAGAAACCGGCCAGCTGTGCCATGCCAGCTGCCAGCAGTGCTTGGTCAGCGTTTCATTATTTGGGTGCCACTTGCTGTCAGCACATGCTCAAGCTCTGTTCTGCCTGCCAAAAAACTGGGCTAATTTATTTAGCATTTCAACAGATCAGGGAAAAAAAAATAATTTAAAAAAGGAAAGATTGAATTTGGAAACTCTATTCCTTGGAGAGTTAGTAATGGATCTTTCTCTCTCCCCCTCCTCCAGGCCTCGGCAGTCATAACTTCCTCATGTCAATGTTATTATGAAGAAACTAATTCAATAATGAGATCATTCCCCATATGAGAGCCCCAGAAAATGAGGCACTCAGTCATACCTACTCTCTCTCATCGGAGGGAGTCATGCTTCTTCGGCATTCATAACTTCCTCATGTCAATGTTATTATGAAGAAACTAATTCAATAATGAGATCATTCCCCATATGAGAGCCCCAGAAAATGAGGCACTCAGTCATACCTACTCTCTCTCATCGGAGGGAGTCATGCTTCTCTCGTAATTCAGTCTCCAAGAGCAATGGCCAAAAGATGACACCAACTATTTCCAGTGTTTGTGGTGGGTCATATCCAACCAAGTGTCACACAAAAATCTGTCATTTGACCTATGTGCTTAATTTGCAAGTTCCAGGCTCTTCCTTTGGCTGTTTCTTGGGCTCAGCTGCCTGTTGCTGAACCAGCTGCTGCCACAGAGGATCAGCCAATACAGCTACTGGCAGTCAGCAGCCCAGGTCCACGTGCAAAGTACACACCGTTTAGTGTTTGCTTATTCCTCAAATGCCCCCCCTTTAGTGAAAAAAGCAGCAAGATGGGTGAGAAACTTGCAGGGGATCTATCATGTCCAGTTTTGTTTTCATTTTGCTCCTACTACTATTTTAAGGGCAACAGAACTTGAAGGGAGACAGCACCTGGTGTCCCTGAGGTTCACACACACTGCTCCTGTGAGTTGCTGAAAGTTTAAGCCTTCAACAAACCGAAGTATGACTCATCTGGGCACGAATCCAGGCCCCAGACTCATCCAGTTTAAGTTCCACCCAAGACCTACACCTAGAGACTTTTCCTTGCCTGGGTTTTGGTCTTAGGAGAACCACACCAACAGGAAGCCCCATGCACAGACACTTTGGTGGGACCTCCACTTCGAGCTCATGCTGAGCTGAAGTGATCCATGTTGCTCTGAACGTTGCTCAACGAGGGGGAAAGTGAATATTATGAGGAACTCTTCTATGGGTTTAACTTGACATCCATCCAGTTGCCCGCACAAGCGGTGAAACTTTTGGAAGGAGTGTGGACATCAAGAGTAACAAACACAACCTGGGGCTCTCTGCTCACCTTGCAAAGTCCAGGTCAGCCTCACGGGACATGGTGATGTTCGTCAGGTTTTGCTGGAGGATGAAGATGTTCCTACACATTTTCTTGATGCCGGATTCACTGATGCGCTTGAAGTAGTGGGCGCCGTTGATAAGAATGCAGGAAATCAGGTGGCCCAAACCTGCAAGGGCGGTGGAGGCGGGGGAACAAACAATCAAATCACAGGAGGAAGACATTTAATGACAATAATTCATCATAAAACCAATGAATCAACACTGTTAAGTGGCACCTGTGAACCGGAACAGGAGATACACTGGATTGTACGTGGAAACCCTCAATATATTCCCTGTGCATTTTAGGAGGACTTTCCTCAAGGTTTCCTTCTTTAGAAAAAATACAAAACCACTTCCAAACACTATGAAAGCTCAAAGTTGCATTATCATAACCATTGATATTTCCAGGGCGCTTCCAGATTTATAATCAGGCTTTGCATAATGTCCCTTTCAGTCCCTCTCTCTGTCTGGGCAGAGCAATGGACCGCTACTGCTCCTACAAAATGACAGTATTTTAATCTGTTACCAAGCGCGGTATTTTTCCCTGGTAAACTCAGAGTCCCCAAAAGCTGAAATGATCTGCATTTCAATGCACTTGATGTGCAACCTCTCTCTGATTGGTCTTGAGCAGTTTCTTGTGTCTGAATGATGTCTCCATCTTTCCTCTGCTGCTGAAGGACATACCCAGCTGCTCAAAGTCACAAAGTCACAGCCACCCCCAAAATGGTGTATCCATTCATGCCGCATTACAAATAGCAAAAAAACCCAGCCTGATTCATTCAGTGCACAGGGCTGTGTAAGACCAGACATCGATTAAAAGTCTGAATTAAGAAAATATGTTCATGTATAGGCAACCAGCACAGGTTATATGTAAATCCCCAAACTGGGCTTAAGAGATGGCCACATTTCATGAAGACCATATGTATGAATTTCAACCTCATGGCTTAGCGAGATGCAAACAGTCCCCATGGCTCTGTCTGGAGCCATTCCACTGTTTCCTCAAACAGACACAGTAGACCTGAGCTGTAATAGAAGCTCTACAGTGTGCTGGTGATTGCTCAGTCTGCCATGGATTCACACAGCTCAGAAAACATCTGATTAAAAAACGCTCCATCGGTAGCTACATGGGTATGGCAGAAGCACACAGATACTGAAAGCCATCTCTAGGACCAGTAAATGGTGGTCAGACTAAGGCTAACCAGGCTTGCAAAGCCTTCATCCCTGCTGACATATTGTATCAGGCATTATATACTGGTCCATCTTCAGTCCCCACCTCCTCCTGACTTTGAACAACCACCACATAAAAGGACACGTATCCCGGCGGGCGGGCAAGAAACTGTGCATCAGCGCCACAAATAAATACGGGGGAGATGAACCAAGACATGATTTATATTCTCCAAGGTAATCACGACAGATGAGACATCAGAAGAGCTAATGTTCTCTAAATTTAATTTTAGAAATGGAATGGCTACACTTCGGATAGGAACTGCGCTGTGATAGAGCTGTGCTTGTGCTTGTAATACATACACATGCCCTGCGGCTTGCCGAGGAAGAACTGTCCTGCACGTACATCAACTTACTGCTTTCCTACTCAGCATGGGTCCGCTTCTCCTATTCAGCCAGACACGCTCAGAAATGGTATGGAGGCAAAGGGGTTTTTGAGCGCCCTGTGTTTGCATGGGTCTCACCAACCTGCTGAAGGTGGCAACGGTATCACAGTCTGCCTTACCCCCAGGAGGACTACTGTTGGGCTTTGGGATGAGAATGAAAAGTCATTTTGTAAGAACCAAACTCTTATGGTAAATGCCTGACCTTCGAAGATGTACTGGAACTTGTGCTGCTGGAGGCTGGCGCTCATGGCTTCCTCGATAGCACTGATGTCCTTGTTGAGCCGGACAACGAGAGGGTCATAGTCCATACTCTCCACGTTAGCGACGATGGCGTAGTTCCCTTGTTTAGCCAGCGGGATCAGGTAGTGGAAGCAATGAACTCTGCGAGACAGAAGAGAGAAACGCTACAATGCGACAACCCCGATGTTAAAATATCAGTGGGTCTGCAAAGTGCTGCCGCCTTGTTTTCCTTCCAATGTTCAAGCTAGTAAAAAAGTACCCAACAATTTGAAGAAATGGGTGGTTATATCTGCATTAAATACATCCTCCTCTTGCCATTGTCCCATCTTGAGAGGTGAACACAAAGGACCCTTAATTAACAGGTCTGACCTACATCATCCCAGTAAAATTCCAAGTGTCTTTTCACAAGGTTCTCCAACTTCACACATGCCAGTTCAGCAGCACTTCAACACCCATGCTCAAAGAAGAGCTCCTTCTATGTACCATAAAGACCTAATAACAGTTATAACTGGCAGAAGGAACGAGCCAGGGGACATGCAGTGATAATTAGCAGGCCAAGGTTGTGCCTATTCTCAGGCATTTAACACTATTGCAACTTTTTTCTGCTCACCTGCCCGGTAGGGCTGTAGGCAACATGCCCAACCACCATCTCTCCATCGAAGGAGAACTTCTGTGCATTCAAATCACCTATTAGGCCTCTGCAAGAACCTGTAATTAAGTAATTCCTCTCGAACCCACAGAGGAAAGCCCTATGTCCAACGAAGTCGATAGCAAAACTCCTTCTACTTTTGTAATTATTTGGTTTCACCCACATCACTAAATGGGGATGTGAGGTTAGTTGGGTTATTCCGAATTTCCTCTGTCAGGGAAAGATGGCCAAATCCCAGCCTGGGTGAAATATCCCTTGTGCTTGAAGGATAACCCAGGATCAGCACACTGAGACAGCAAGTTCACACCAGACTGGCCCCAGCGGCGGGGAGCTGTGTTGGGGTGAGAGAAGCTGTGATGGGTATGTCCTGGCTTTCACGCCCCCATCCTCCTGGAAAACATCCTTGAGGTGGCCATCACAAGCCAGTTCAATTTAGGGCAATTCCAAGAGTGAAAACATCTGTTTGCACTCTTTAGTGCCTGCTCCTGTATAATTCTATATGGGGCTTTTTATAGGAAAATACTGTAATAGACATTAAGTAATCTACAACTCTGTGGTTATTTGTAACCAAAGAGATGGATAATGATCGGAATGCGCCAACAGATTTCCTTTAAGGAAGCAGATCTAAATCCAAGGAGCAGGATCTCCATGACCACTGTCCTCAGGTCATGCCCACACGGTATCGGAGGAGGAGAAGCCAACGCCGGGCTGGTGTCAACCTGCATCTGGCAGAGCTGCAAACGAAGAGGGGGGCCCTAAAAGAGGAGAAATGCAAGGGGATAATTGCGTCGTCTCAAATCCGCTTTGCTGTTCGCTGGTGTTTTCTTTGACTGCACCTGCATCAGCAAGAGGCCGGATAAATTCCTGTGCTCTTTACAAACGGGCTCTGAGCGCCTGTTTAAAGCACGGGGTTTCTGTGAATGAACACACATTGTACTATGCACCTTGGCAATGGCACGGATCTGCGGAGATGGTGTAGGACTCTCGGAGAAACCTGCTAATAACAGCCATCAGAGGGACCGGGATTTTTTCTCCGTTACTGCAGGTGGTTGCAAACGCGGAGCGATGAATATGGGGAAGCTCCTGCCCCACTGGGGATTTTCCTGGTTGTTAGCATCGCTTCTTCTCAATCCTTTCCATCCGTTGCAAAGACTAACGTGCTTTGGTGTATTTACAGCATCAAACTGGGGCTCCTGTTAGAAGCACTAGAGGAGGTAGGCAATAGTCTGCTCTGAAACGAGCAGCACAAATATTTCCTGAATTACATTTCCACTTATTTCTGCCTAAACCAAGTGTGATGGAAAAGCCACAGAGGACCGAAGCCAGAAACCCAATCAGGCTGATGCCCATACCGTGAGTCCGGGTTACCTCAGGCATCAGCTCGCATTACATCGCAGCTGGAAAACTGCTCTGTTTCCATATCTTAACAATCTTTTCCTTGAATCCTTCAAACCCCAGCTCATCTGTGATGCCTGCAATCAAGTGGCCGGCAGATGATGGATAGCAGGTTGAAGAGCTGCTGACAGTAACTAATACGTATTTTTTTTAAAGCTACCTCCAGACTTCACCAGAGCTCTACCAACGTACACAAGGACACAATATGGCTTAGGATATGTCACGGCGGAACAAACTGATGGTCCATCAAGTCTCATTGCCCGTCTCTGACATCCACTTCTATTTGATGCTTCAGAGAAAAGGGAAGCAATGAAAATACACCTGGCCAATACAATGCATAAGGGAAAAATGTCTTCCCAGCCCCAGAGCAGCCAGCTGGCAGCCTGAAGAAAGGGATCTGCTGCCTTTGATCTTTGCATGTGAAGTCAGAAACATCATAAAATTATCCGTCCCTTTAAAAAAATCCAGCTGGTTGCCCAGTTTCTGTTCCTATTTGAAAAAGTGGCAAGAAAAGCTCCACAGCGCAGTGGCTAATAAATATGCAGACACCTGTTAGACTATTAAAACAGCATTGTCCAATATTCTAAGGACAAAGCCCCCGAAAACCCATTTTTCCTAGTCTCTGACACAAGAGAGACACACCTCCACAGGAAATTCCACTTTTGGTATCCTGCCTCTGTCCCACATTTGGCCGTCCATGGTGATGGGATCTGTCACATCTGGACTGACCGTTGATGCTACAGCAGGCAAGTATACCTGTCTGAGGTGCCGTGATGCGTACTCCGACCACAATCTTAACCTACAGCCTCCCAAGCTCACCCGCAATCCATGAATTCGGGGCTTTTACCTGACTTCCAAATGCAGAACCAGCAGGCAGCGATCAGCCATCTCTTGAAAAGACCTGGCCAGCTCACTCAGGGTTTGCAGGATCTGTTCGGATGCTGGAAGGTGTTCCAGACTGGCATGGCTGTCCTGGCCAGGAGACACAGCTAGCAAGAGAAGATAATATAAATTTGTGACATATTTCATCAATACCACTCAGCTTTAGCAACCACAGCATCTTGTCTGCTTCCATCCTGAATATACGCGTTCTCTCCCACCTTTTCCTGAGCAATAACCACTATAATTTGGGAGCGTTCGAAGCAACAAACTGCTTCTGCAATTGATTAAACTCCAAAGTGAATCTGAGGGGTTTAATCAACCACCAGAATACATTTGCTTGGGAAGATATTGCTGTGTGATGATTATTTCTGTAGCTGCAAAATCCAGGAACGATTATCTTGCTCTGCTCAGAGTGAGAAAAGAGCTGCTCAGGAGCCAAAGCACAGCACTGGCAGGAAAGATGGTCTTTTTTGGTCACCACAGACTTCCCCATGTAATGTCAAGTGAGTCTTTGCCTGTTCCCATCCCTTCAAGGAGGTTTTCTTCATTCTTATTAATAAAACCCAGCTCTTAGGCAGGAAAGGAATTAAAAAGCGGGCAACAGCTATGAGTTGGTCATGGACCAACTGTTTCCCTCCCACTCTTTAAGAAAACACCTTGAGTTTATCCTGACCACAAGAGCATCGTCTCCTGGAGGAGTGTCAACGCACCTATAACTCTGCAGCCTTCATCCGTCATATTTTATCACAGTCCCTGAACCCTGAACCTTCTCCCCTGCGACACAAATCGCTGCCACTTGAGCTACAGAAGTAGCTTCGCTAACAAGAATAACATGCTGTTATCATATATTTCGCCCTAATTAGAGGAAGTGTATCCCAAATATCTGAGTTCAAGTCCTCGTTCAAGCACCGCTTTAGAAATGACTTCCTGCATAGGGTGATTAGCAATGGTTGAAATCAGGCAGCCCCGCTTACACAACTTCCACTTGAATTAAGTAATGGGATAGAATCATAGAATGGTTTAGGTTGGAAAGGACCTTGAAGATCATCCAGTTCCAACCCCCCTGCCATGGGCAGGGACACCTCCCACCAGACCAGGTTGCCCAAGGCCACCTCCAGCCTGGCCTTGAACACCTCCAGGGATGGGGCCTCAACAACTTCTCTGGGCAACCTGTGCCAGTGCCTCACCACCCTTAAAGTGAAAAACTTCTTCCTAATGTTTAATCTAAACCTGCCCTCTTCCAGTTTAAAGCCATTCCCCCTTGTCCTGTCACTACATGGCCTAGTAAAAAGTCCCTCCCCAGCTCTTCTGTAGCCCCTTTAGGTACTGGAAGGCCGCAATAAGATCTCCCCGGAGCCTTCTCTTCTCCAGGCTGAACAGCCCCAACTCTCTCAGCCTCTCCTCATAGGAGAGGTGCTCCAGCCCTTGGATTATCCTCGTGGCTCCCCTCTGGACATGCTCCAGCAGGTCCATGTCTTTCTTATGTTGGGGGCTCCAGAGCTGGACGCAGTACTCCAGGTGGGGTCTCACCAGAGTGGAGTAGAGGGGAGAATCCCCTCCCTTGACCTGCTGGCCACACTTCTTCTGATGCAGCCCAGGATATGGTTGGCCTTCTGGGCTGTGATCGCACATTGCCAGCTCATGCTGAGCTTCTCGTCAGTCAGCACCCCCAGGTCCTTCTCCTCAGGGCTGCTCTCCAGCCATTCCCCCCCAGCCTGTATTTGTGCTTGGGATTGCCCCGACCCAGATGTAGGACCTTGCACTTGGCCTTGTTGAACTGCATGAGGTTGGCTTGAGCCCACCTCTCCAGCCTGTCCAGGTCCCTCTGGATGGCATCCCTCCCCTCCAGCGTGTCTACCTCGCCAAACAGCTTGGTATCATCAGCAAACTTGCTGAGGGTGCACTCGACCCCACTGTCCATGTCACTGACAAAGATGTTGAATAATACAGGTCCCAGTACCGACCCCTGAGGAACGCCACTCGTCACTGCTCTCCACTTGGGCATCAAGCCGTTGACCGCAACTCTTTGAGTGTGACTGTCCAGCCAGTTCATTATCCACCGAGTGGTTCATTTGTCGAATCCATGTCTCTTCAATTTAGAGACCAGGACATCGTGTGGGATCACAAGGGATCTCCTGGATCATCAAGCCCAGTCCCTACAAGCCCCGTGTCCCAGAGCCATGAGTATAAACTTGTGTGCCATATGAAGTTGTTCAGATTTCTACCCTTGCCGGCTCCTTCGAAACCTCACTTCTCTAACAGTGGTGTTAAAGTTTGGGATCCAACTTCCAGCCTAAACCTATTCACTGATGTTTGGTTCTTCACATGGCAACACTATTCTTTGCCTTATGGAGTTCTCCATCCCTGGTATCCCTCTTCACAGAATCATGGAATCACTTAGATTGGAAAAGACCCTTAAGATCATCAAGTCCAACCATCAACCTAACACTGCCAAGTCCACCACTAAACCATGTCCCTCAGCACCATATCTACCCGTCTTTTAAATCCCTCCAGGGATGGTGACTCCACCCCTTCCCTGGGCAGTCTGTTCCAATGCTTGAAAAAAGCAACTCTCTGTGCTCCTTCTAGTTTCAATTAATGTCTCCTGAACACAGGTAACCAGAGCTGTTTGCTGTGTTTGAGCTGTAATCAGTGCCACAACAGGACTAGAGCTTTCCCATTTACCCTGGAAATATTCTTTTGCTCTGCCATATCTGCTTTTTTTTCATGGCTGCTTCACATTTTCAGCTCAAAGTTGTTCTGTGATCACCCTGAATAATGGACACGTACTATCTGCTGGCTTTAAGAAACACCTCCTTCTCTCTTTTCTTGCACAAAGGTTCATTACACGATAAAACGCTTAGCCAGACACCAACGCAACTCTGCATAGAAAGGATCTGTACATCACCAAGGAACTGTTGACAATAAACTTTCATTTTGATGGAGACTGATTAAGTAAATGTCACTCGCCGCCGTTTGTACAGCCAAAGACCTGCTTTGAAAGAGGAACCTACGCAGAGCTTTGGATTTGCTCCTAAAATGAAATACACCTGCAGATCTAGCCTGAAAAGAAAAAATAATAATAAAAAAAAAACCAAAATGAGGAGATAAAAAGCCCCAATCTATTTTGTATGAAACAAATGGAAACAGAAGTAAACATACAGGACGGGACTGTACAATTAAAGGAGCGTGGCAAAGCAAAAGGGAAAGCTTTCACGCAGCGAAGTGCCTAATTGCGCATCTAAATGTACAGTGAATTACAACACAGAAAAGCATGCACGGGTGAAGCGATGTAAAACACGGTTCCTGAAAGCAGCCTCCTTCAGCAACGCCTGCAATCACAGCAATATTTATGAAGTTTTGTTTTTTGTTTTTTTTTTAACCAAGGAACATGGTAGAGAAATTCATAGCCTGGCAAATACTGCTGAATGTAATTAACTGGCCTGGAGTGTAAAAGAGAAATAAAGAGAGAAATGAGAGCGACAATCCACCCAGGGGGAATGGGAATAACAAGGATGCCCCTTCCCTAGCACACCCCGACGCTTCTCCATGCCTCTCTCTGCTCACTGAGGTCTCTCCCACAAAGAAAATGAAATTATCAGCGAGGGGGTGATGGGCTTATTTACACAGCCTCTAATTTCCAGATAACGGTGTGAAGAGATGAGTCTGGGAAGGGCTTTGGAAGAGCTGTTTGTCCAGCTGCCACCCGCCTTTCAGCTACGAGACCTCCAAGTGACATTTGTTTCCCTGGAGGGCGGCAGGACTTTCGGATCCTGCAGGATCAGGTCTAGGAGTGCTTAGAAAGTGGGAAACCTCACCTTTATTATGGGGGGAAAAAACATCTATTTTTAGTCAAAACTCCTACGCTTTGAGAAGCTTCTATCAGCCTCACTCCTGGAGATGGACTCACGGCAAGAATCAGCTCTTTAGCAGTGCTGGCGCTGCAGCTTCGGGCTCAATCGTGCCAGCTCTCTCCAGAGATGCCCCCCTGCGAGCAGTGGAGATGGATGGACCCATCATCTGAAACGCAAGAGTCAGCTAATTTCTGTAGTGGAGAGATACACGCACAATTTTTTCTACTCTCCAGAATTCATTTACAGCAATTTAAGTGAAGCTGTAATTATATTTGTCAGTGGAGATAAGAGGAGGAGGGAGACGGGGACAATCTGCTCCTTATTTAAAGCCAGAGCACTGAAGTCCTTCTGGGTGTTCAGAGCCCCTGCAGTGGGGAGGAGGGTCTGGTGCTGGCTTGGGGGACGCATACCAATTTCTCCCATGCACGATGAGGACACTGAAGTGTATTTTTGCTTTTCGAGATCAAAGGAAGCGTTTCAGAACCCATCAATTTTCCTTTCTCCTTCTTTGGACATCCAGAAAGGACCATTTCGCCCCCAATGAGAAAATCCCATTTCTTTAAGTCTCACTCAAGACAGTTTTACTCCATCATCCTTGGCCACACGAACCCACAGAAGGAGCTGTAGCAGCAAAAAAATAATCAGAGCCTAAATTATTAAGGGGCCTTGAATAAAAAAATGTAATTCTGAGCTGGCTTTGGAGTTGGCCAGTCCTTTGGGCAAAGGGTGATCCTGCATCGTGTAGACATTCAACTCACCAGGGCACACTTTGGGCTCTCTCCTTAAAGAGGGAGATATCCCCAGCTGAAATGCTGGAAAAGCAAAACAGCACATCAGCAGCCATCCATTTCTTCTTCTTCTCCTCCTTCATAACTCATTTACACGAAGTCGTACATGAGCTCTCCTTGGCCAACAAAATACCCAATGGTTGGGTGGCCAACGTTTTCTCCCATTGGCCCTTATCATCTTGCAGCCTAAACAGATGAATTTCATTTGTCTTAAGTGATCTTCCGGTGCTGCCGGATAACAGTTATGGTTTTGTTTGGGATTTCTTCTAGCTTGCTGTAAGCGCAGCCAAGATATCTCACTCAAGGAGAAGGAATGTTTCATTCCAGCAAACGTGAGAAAAATAAGCTTAACACAGTCGTTGTCATCAATGATTTCAATCATTTTGCAATTCAATGTGACGCCAGTCCCTCTTGACAGATTGTGCCTTGTAGATCGATGGATGTAAATTACCAGACCTCTGGAAT